AATGTCCTTTACCACCATTAATCTCCCTCCTCTATTTTAATCTAGCTGCGTTTGTCTGCATATCTTAATGTTGTAATACATTTATTGTGCATGATGTGCATATATACTCGTTGCTGATTTCTTCACGTTACATCATTGCACGTCAGTCTTGATTCGGATTATCATCAAATATTCAGCACCGGAAGCTTATTTCTGTTCAGTTTGTGTTTTAACTATTTTGGAGAAATAATTCTATCTCCCCCCTCCTCTCTCTCTCTCATATATTTAGAGAAAGCGTACTCACAGTACCTCTAAGGTTTTAATTATTATAATAAGTATCCAACCTTTTACCAAATTTTTGAAATTCACGGTCCCTTGGTCCAAGGTTCGGAAGACAAGACAGAACTGAAAATTAAGGTAATAAGCTGAAAATTCATTTTGATGACCTCAGGGTTTAGACCCAAGGGACGGGTTTAGTGACAGTACGTCAGAAAATGAAAATTAATGAGTTGTATCTTACAAATTTTTTTTTACTAATATGCAGATAATGTTGCATTTTCAATTATTGTACTAAACATTCAGTCTTGAACGAAAATCGTGAAATCCATCGATCATCCTTTGGTTCAAGATTCGAGCCTAATGATGGGAAATAAATTGGACATATATCTTTATTACAAAATATCTTTATACTCATGAGTTTCTAGAAAAAAAAAATAAACAATTAAACCGCATGAATATGATAGTGATATTAAATAAAGTTTTTTTTTATTTGTAGCTTTAAAACTTTGAAAGAATGATTACACGGCTGGCGCGGATCCAGAAATTTTTTTTCGGGGGGGGGGGGGGTCCACCCCAGTCCAAAAAAAATCCGACCCAGAAATTTCTTGACAAGCAAAAAAAAAAAATAATAATAATAATGATAACCCCCAAAAATTGTAAACTCGCCCAACCTTCAAAAACCTATTTCGGGGTGAGGGTGGGGATGGGTAGTCGATGACTTCTAATGCTTCAAAATTTTGACTTTTCATTCCAATTTAAGACAAATTCCCGTTTACCAGGGGGGTCAGCGTTTTCCGAGGGGGTCCAAGGTAACTTTTTTTCTTGCTTTAGTATATAAATTTAAAAATCTTGCAAATTCCAGGGGGACCCGGGTCCTGACCCCCCCCCCCGACTCCCCTCTATATCCGCGCATGCACGGCAAGGACAGTCCCTTATTCTGATATAAGATGTGTCTAAATTATTCTCCAAAAATGTATTTTCCGCAGGCTTCTTTAAAACATTTGATTCAAGTACATGTATTTTTCTAGATCTATTTTTCACATCATGTTCCGAATGAAAATCCCATAAGCGCTTATGCAAGCACAGGCACCTGAAATGTGATTATTATGTATTACCTCATCATAAATATTCTAAACAACGCGTTATCTGATTGGTTCTAAGTTGTCACGTGATCGGGCCGTAAAACTTCATATTTCCCGGCCGTCGGCACGCTTTTCATCATATTCCACCTCTTCGGAACACCTAGTGTATTTTCCCGCAATATAGTTCTCCTTCGTTGAACGAAAACTCCCGAGAGACGTAGACGTCACAATAGCCTTGTTTACGTCACAAAACTGATGATAATGTGTTGAACAAGAAGACTTATTCAGCCAAAAAAATCATATTCCCCGAGGGCTTCGCCCAGGGGAATATGATATTTCTTGGCTGAATAAGTCTTCATGTTTCCCGAACATTCATGCAATGAATTGTTTATTATACCGAAACAAGCAAAACCTTTGAAATAAACATAAACTTTCAAATTCGGCACTGCTCTCAAAGTCATTTTCAATTTTTACGTGAAGTTACCCTTCAACACATTGTCATCAGTTTTGTGACGTAAACCAGGCTATTGTGACGTCTACTTCTCTCGGAAGTTTTCGTTCAACGGGAAAATACACTAGGTGTTCCGAAGAGTTGGAATATGATGAAAAGCGTGTCGACGGCCGGGAAATATGAAGGTTTACGGCCCGATCACGTGATAACTGAGAACCAATCAGATAATGCGTTGTTTAGAATATTTATAATGAGGTATAATAAAGGGTTTTATAATAACTTTATGTAAAAAATGAAAATGAATTTGAGAGAGGTGCCGAATTGAAAAGTTTATGTTTATTTCAAAGGTTTTGCTTGTTTCGGTATAATAAACAATTTATTGCATGAATGTTCGGGAAACATGAAGACTTATTCAGCCAAGAAATATCATATTCCCCTCGGGCGAAGCCCTCGGGGAGTATGATTGTCTTGGCTGAATAAGTCTTAATTCATATTTCCTTCACTATCATGCAATAAATGTATAATACCCCCCCCCCCTCGAATAAAAAAAATATAAAAGCTTATAATTTCTCAGAAATAAAAGATTTACCCATTTATGATATCTATATGTCGTTCTATGAAAGCAGATTGTACTTTCTCTTACGTTTAGAGATTGACCATGTACGGTATAATAAAAATACACGTATTATACCTAAATGTAAGAAAAAGTATAATCTACTTTCATAGACTACTGTACTATAGATATCAAAGATGGGTAAATCTTTTATTATCTGTGTATGCAAGTGCCTGTGGTAAAGAGGCAGGCACATAGCATCGTTTTTGAAAGTGGGGGGGGGGGCCAACCAGAGAAATTTCTTTTTTACTTACCTGAAAAAGTTGACAAGCAAAAAAAAAATTTAAAAAAATTAAAAGTTTGCCCAAACTCGAAAATCCTATTTCGGGGGGGGGGGGGGGGGGGAGGGGTAGTGGCCAACTTACTATCACTTCCAATTTTTCCCTACAATCCTTGATATCAATATACTATAGTAAAAAGTGGCCAACTTACTATCACTTCCAATTTTTCCCTACAATCCTTGATATCACTATACTATAGTAAAAAGTGGGGGGCCAACCATCCTTTCAATGAACATTTACTATAGTATTTAAATGTAATGTTGGGGAAAAAAAGAGGGGGGTCAGGCCCCCCCTGGCCCCCCCCGGTTGCTACGTCCCTGAGAGGGATATAGTTATGTTCACTTATAATTTTTATCATTTAATGTAATTAAAAAAACATGTACAGAATGTATAAATAGCAAAAATCGCAATTTAGTTTACCCGATATGTGTATTTCACCTGAAACTCATTAAAAACAGTTACTCATTTTTAAAACTTCTTTAAAAATCTTTTCTGTTTCTGTGTATTCTTGTGTAACGAAAAGGCATGTTTTTACGTGATCGGTGTATCAAATTATGCGGTGGTCATACAGCGCAGATTGAAATGCGTTCTTAGCAACAAGAAACACCTGATTCACATCAACGTTATGAAAGCGCTTCAATGCAAACTTTTCGTTCTATCAAAACGTTTAAAAGAGTACGATGAATAACATGCAAGAAAGGTCGAGGTCGTTTATGAAACCCGGCACGTCCGGAAAGAATGGGGAAGGAGGCATCTAACGATGTTAGCGTGGCGAAAGCCACTAAATATTACACAGTAGAGGAAATAAAGCAGCACAACAAACGGGATGATAACTGGCTAATGATCAATGGCAAAGTCTACGACCTCAGCCGCTGGGCAAAGAAGCACCCAGGGGGAGCAAAAATCCTGGGGCACTATGCTGGAGAAGACGCAACGGTAATATACGTTATATTTTTGTCAGCGAAAGCGTGTGATTATAATCTGCACTCTTCATGAGAGAATTTTGCTTGAGAGATTTTTTAACTAGCCATTAAAATAATACTGAACGACAAAAATGTTTTTATGAAAAATTGCATATAGGCCTAAATAGCTTTATCAATTTTATTTAATAGCATAGTACAGCTATATAGCTTTTTAAAGAGATTGTGCTGGACCTGGCTGTATGACTACGTACTAGGTTGACCATACAAAGCATAACAGGATAAGGATTATTCTCTTTAGAGAAGTAGACAGGCGTTTGCCTACATCCTGTCCACTTCTCTGTAGAGAATAGATAAGGATATGCTTATGTTAACACTATCACCCCTCCTCCAAAAGTAGCAACAAAAAAATGCTGCATATGGTTTGAGGAGATAAATCTGCAGGAATAAAGATTTTGTTATTTGTAGAAGATAAATGTTCATCTTGTTTCCTTTTCCTTATTTTAGGATGCCTGGACTGCATTTCACAATGATAAAGGATATGTATCCAAGTTCATGAAAGCCCTGTACATTGGAGATGTGAAAGACTGGGATGATGTATGTATACTATATACACACTGCGAAACACATTAAAAATATCAAATTGATTCAGAAATTTGACATATTTTCACATTGTTTTTTTTTTTTTAAAGTGTTTAAAAAGTACAATTGATGTATTGAAGCATAATATCATAATTATTATAAAATTACCCCAGTATATGCAAATGTTATGCATCTAAGGATTTATATAGTATACATAATAAACAAGCGAGTCTGGTAAATGATATGAGAATATGAAACTTTCACATCTAATACGATTTATAACTTCTAAAACCTTTTTCAAATGTTTGATAATGTCGGAAAGTTTCTTTTTTCTACCAGGTAATCTTGAAAGTAAAAATAATTTGGTAGTAAATTTCAATCATTCTTTTGAAGTGTGAAACAGATCTGAAGAAGGACTTCCGTAAGCTGAGGAAGTATGCAGAAGACAGTGGGCTGATGAAGACCAATCCTGCCTTCTACATCCTCCATCTTCTTCACATTCTGGCCCTGGAGGCCCTCGCCTATTACGTGGTCTGGAGCTGGCAGGGGAGCATGGCAGCCTTCATTGTTGCAGCTGTTCTTTTGGCAACTGCACAGGTACACTTTATTCCCAAACCTGGAATAAAAAAAAAACAAAGAATCCACTTCCTTTCTTAATTTATGTGAATTTTTGCACATATGAAAAAAATATAGGTAGACTATTGTGAATTATGCATGAAGATTAAGAAGTGCATGAATTGATAAAAAAGAGGCATAAGATCCTTTAAAAAAAATTGATACATACAGTTTATGATAGTCCATGATTTTATCTTTATTTTAAGAAAAAGTTACATCTTTTTATCAAACATTCTCCTCCCTCTATTTTTAGCTCACCTGAGCGGAAG